ATCTTCTTCTTCTTCTTCGTTCGTCATCCCGTTTTCTCTCATTCACGCTTTTTCTTCTCCCCGGAGCTCGGAATCGTCTCACCGAGGTAAGGGAAGCTAGGATTTCATGCCGGCTGTACGAAAATGAGTTTAGTAACTCATGAATGGTTTGATGATTTGATGATTTTGGCTGAAAATGATGAAAACGGGTTTTCGGGGTTTCGGGTGGTGATGAAAATTTGGGGATTTTCTTTGTTTGTGGTTGCATGCTGAAAAAGATGGTGTTTTTGAGCTGTTTTGTGAAAATGTGAAGTTTTGGATGGTTTGCATGTCGATTTGCTGGTTGTTTATGCAGGTTTTGATGGAAATTTTTGAACTTGGAGAGTTGTTGCGTGGTAACACGCTGGGCGCAGTTCTTGGCGCCGGACACGTGATCATCAGAGGGCTCCATTGGTCGAGCCCGCCGGGCGCAAGTGGTGTGCGTCGGGAAAGCTGGAGGATGGATGCCCCTAGATGGCTCACGCCGGGCGTGGTTGGACCAGCTGAGCGCGTTATCAGTCAGTGACCCACTTTGTTGTGATTCTGGTGTGGCACCGGGCGTGACTACGTCTCGCCGGGCGTGGAGACTCCTTGGGAGTCTCTACTAGAGGGGGCGTCGAGCGCAATTTGCATTGCGCCGGGTGTGAGGCCTTAGGGAGGTCTCTGCCTTCCCTGTGCCGAGCGCGGGTTTGGCACGCCGGGCGTGTGAGACCTTCTAAGGTCTCTGCCTCCTAGCATGTTGGGCGTAATTGGAATTGTGTCGGGCGTGTTTGAGACCTGATGCTCTCTGGTTGGGCCACGCCGGGCGCGACCATGAGTGCGCCGGACGCGGATGTGATGTTCACTTATATGTTGTTATATGCTGATTTTAGCTGAAATATTGATAAGGCTGAGCTGTTGTAGGCCGTAAGGTTGAGCTGTTGTAGGCCGTAAGGCTGAGCTGTTGTAGAAGATCTCCAAGCTGATATGCGTGACGACGCATTGTGTGTTTACTGCTGATTTGTTGAATAATGTGAGTTGTACATGATAGATGAGTTGTATGCTGATAGCTGTAGCTAAATATAGGTAATTATATGTGTACAATTTGATTCTTTTCACTAACTTACCCTTTGTTGTTTCCATGTGGTTTGAACTGCAATGATCATACTACGTATGGGAGCAGAGTAGGGTTAGGTTGGTGTGTAGAGGTAGATCTGTAGCTGACAGATGCAATGGATGTAGTTTGGATATTTTGCTGTTTTAGCTACTTAGTGTAGCAATTGGGCTATATTTTGTATATTGATTTTAAGCCCCAGATTAGACCTTGTGTATATATTTTAGCAAACTCTTTTTGAATATTCTTCAATTTCTCTTCAAACTGCAAGGAGAACGGCCCGTTCTGCAAGCAGAACGGCCCATTCCAGATGAACAAATAGCAAAAAAAACACAGAAAAATTGTGTGGACAAGAAACTAACCTCAAACAAGCAACGTGCAGACACTTAGAGACTTGGAAACGTTAAATGCACAAAAAAACGCAGGGGGAGACTAAGAAAATCATAGAAAAGCTAATAGATTTTGTATACACTGTGAGCGCGGGAATGGAAAATGAGACATTGGCCAATATAGTGGAATATTTATGTCGAATGGGGTATCTCAGACGTAAATTTACGTCGGACTAGGGGGGTCCGACGTAAATTTACGTCAGTCTATGGGGGTCCGACGTAAATTTACGTCGGTCTATGGTAAATTTACGTCGGTCTATGGGGGTTCTGACGTAAATTTACGTCGGATAGTATCACTTCCGACATTAATTGCCTAATTTATGTCGGACCCTTTGTTGTCCGACGTAAATTAGTCTCCACATTTTTACGAAACTGCCACCGCGTTTTTACAACGTCGGGGTTTCTCATTTTCGACGTAAATTAGGTGACGTAATAGCCCTTTTTTGCACTAGTGAATGATGTTGTGGATTTCCTTGTGTACTTTATATATAAAATATTTTCTTTTCTCACCGTACAATTTGTGGATGTTTTAGGTGAGGAAGATCCAACTTTGAGTGGCATCTAGAATGTCAACCATTGAGTTGTGGGTGTGCTCTGATATTGTGACATCGGGGCAGAGAATTCTAGGATAAATTTTTTTATGTATTTAATGTTATAACTTCTCTTTTGAAAGCAATTTGTAAACTCTCAAGTTTTACTTTCTAAATTTTATTTTTAATTATTTTGGTTATTTACAAAGGTTTTATGTGAACTCTTTTACCAACGTTGAATATTTTATTCTTTAGTTTATTTACAAGATTTATTTATATGTGTTGGGGGTAGTAAGGGTGTCACACAGGTAATTCATATCAAAATTTATTTAAGTATATTTACCTTTACGATAATTAACATTGCACATTAATGACACTTAAATTAATGTTTCAGGTCTTTCAAGATCCATCTCCATTGCTCGAAGATGAAATCATCAAGATAAGAGAATAATGGACAACTTTTTTTTTTCAAAGTATATAATAGCTAGTTAGATTTCTAAGTTTAGTTAGTTGGATATTATGTTTCTAGTTTGATAGCATTGACAAACATATGTTTTATAGCTTTTTTAGGATAATAAGATTTACATTGTCATAATTTATGCTTTTTAAGATTTATATATTATTTTTCTTTTGTCATTCAATTTTGAAATTAAATTATATTTGAATTTGTATTCTGGACTGCCTGGGTTAGGTTTTGTATTTTGGATTGTATGTAGGTTTTGGATGTATCAAAAAACTAAAAATTAAATAAAAAAATGCAAGAACTTACTTCGGACTACACCATGTCCAACATAAATTTACGTCAGAACAAGCATTGGCCGACGTAAATTTACGTCGGACATGGTGTACCCGACGTAAATTCTTGCGTGTATTTTCTTTAATTTTAAACCCTATTTTACGTCGATCCTAGGGAATGTCTGACGTAAATTTACGTCATCTGTCATAGCTGACGTAAATTTACGTCTCCTGCATTAACGTCGACACCATTTCTGACATAAAATCCTAAAAATATTCGACGTTAATGACCCCTTTTGTACTAGTAATATTGGTGTTTTGAATGTATGGTTAAGAGAGAAAAGCAAGCATTTGGATTTAGAGATAAACTATGATATGATGCTTAGATTGAGTAAGCCATGGGAGACTTCTCTCATCACATAAATGTAATATGTGTCGAAAGATGACGATGCTAGGTGCTTAAATAAGTGCTATGGACGCCAAGCACGACTTTATTTCATGATGCATGCCTATGTTAATTCCTTAATGAACAAAAAAGAAAGACATTAATGCAGTGTGTTTTTTATTTTCTTTAGTTATCGGTATTAATGCTATATGACTATTCTTATGATTGAAATATGGTGTTATGACTAATGATGGATCTCATTTTACAATAGAAGGTTTACAAGCCTTCAATCCCTAAAGGCCGACTAAAAGTGAATGTTAAAGAATATTAAAATGTAGTATCCTCCTTGACAAGAGAAGAATATATGTCTTCTTTAGTCCTTAAAGAGTGATGTTCCTCTTTAATCTTCAAAAGGTCCTCCAAGAGACATCTTTAACAAGGAAAGGGTGAGTGGAAAAATCAAGAGGGATGCCTCGTGATATTTTGAGTTAAAATATGTCAAAAAGAGAGAAATGATAAAAGTTTTAAAGGAAGAAATGTCATGCACATTAAATACAATTACTCATATATTTTTTTCTAATTACATTACAAGAAAAATGCTAATTTTTGACGGAAATTTTTGACAGATACAAGTAAATTTTTGACGAATTTTTTTTTCGACGAAAAAAAGTGGCATAAAAAAAAATTGTCAGAAATACCATATTTCGTCGAAAATTTCTGACAGAAATTTTTGTCAAAAAATTCTATCAAAAATTTCTGACGGAAAATTCTGTCAAAAGTTTTTGACGGAAATTTCCGATAGAAAATTCCGTCAAAATTTTTTGAAAATTTGATCGAAAATTTTCGATAGGAAATTCTATCAGAAATTATAATTTTTATTTAATTTTAATAAATTTATTAATGTGACAGCCCTCATGTTTAGCCTCTCAAGGGTTCTATTTCACGACATTTTACTTTTTAGCGTGTTTTATCCTTACTTGCGCAATTTCTGGGAAACTTACCAGAAGGTCACCCATCCCTATATTATTTCAGGTCAAGCATGCTTAACTGTGAAGTTCTATGAAATAAGCTACCGAAATGTATATGCATGTTGTTAGTATAACTTGTATAAATTAATTCATTTAAGTCATCTTCAACTATACAATCTCATATTTGTACTATAATAATAATATATAATAATTTTATATTACGAATAATAATAATAATAATATATTTAATTATTCTTTATTTATATGTACTTACTTTTATAATTAACATTCTACTTATTTCTATTTAAAATTATAATTTAAATTATTTAATTTTATAATTTATAATGATAATATAATTTATAAAATTATAAATATTTATTTATTACATACTTATAAATTAAATTTTAACATTTTAAATATAAATTATTAATTAATTTAATATATTTATTTATCTTAAATCAAACATATAAAATTCAAAAAAAAATGTATTTATCCTTATTTTATTTTCTAATATAAAATTTTGTATATATGATATAAGAGTAAATAATTTTCAATTTAACGATTAGAATTACAAAATTCTCATTTAATATAAAGTTCTTGACCAGTGTAATACTTAGCAAAAATTATACTGGTGTTATTATAACCCTCCTCATATATATATATGGATCCAAATCCGTCAAAAATTATCCATCAAAAGTAGGGATGAGAAAAACTGAAAATTGAACTAGTTTGGTTGAAAACTGGACTAAGCTGGATTTTTTTATTATATTAAAACTTAACTAAACTATCTTTGAAAACATCGAACTAAACTATTTTATTATAATGTTTTATGTTCGTAGAAAATGGTAGTAGTATGCATATATGAATGTTAATAATGCGTATGTGTGTTTCATTTATTATTCATCAAAAGAAAAATTCTTTAGTGAACACACAATATTTTCACTTCATATATAAATAAACATGTCTCCATCACAATTTTGAAATATCTACACAGAAATTGAATTTGAGAGTGGCAGAGCGGTGACCACAATAGGACTTCTCACTACATGTTTTGCGTCTGTCCAAGCGAGATACGCAAAACCCTCTATACTCGGACCTTCAATCCTTAACTTGTAACTTAGCTTCTCATTCTTCTCTTTGAACACCAACTTGTTTGGGATCACGCTCACATTAAATCCTTTGATACGTGTCACACTAGCAGTATAGATTGTTTCTCCATCCCCGACATTGGTCACCGTTCTGTGAAATTCCCAAGTTGCCCTTGAGTCATTAGAAGAACCATTGTCACCAAAGAAAGCAATGAAAGAAGGGTAGTTGAGATCCAAGGAAGGATTGGAGCAATTATTGGACGAAGACTTGGTGATGGTGGTGATGTTCTGCTGAGTGAAGTTCAATGCACAAAGAAGATTGACATAATCTTGAACTCCCACATCGTAAACAAGTCCAGGGTCAAGGGCATTGTTGGGGTTGATATGACCAGCCCCCAAGTCTAAAGGAGAGGCTAGTTTGTGATCCCTACCAATGGCCTTGATGGGTTTCTTAGTATTGTCAAATATATCTGATGTTGTCATAATAGCTGATCTAATAGCTGCAGGACTCCAATCAGGGTGTGCTCCTCTTAACAGTGCTCCTACACCTGTCACTTGAGGGCATGCCATGGATGTTCCAGTCAAAAAATTGAAGCTATTGAAAAGGATTTGGGACCCTAGCAATGCCACTTGAAGATTTTGAGGCCATGCTGCTAAGATTGATGTTCCTGGAGCAGTGATGTCCGGTTTCAACACAAACGGACAACTATTTGATGGCCCTCTGGAACTATAAATATCCACACTAGGTGCTGGCTTAACACCTAAAGTTGTTATCTTAAAAGTCATGTTTGCATTTGCATTAGAGTTACTTTTGATGTATGCTTTGACGTTTTCTCCATTTATCGGGTCAATAATGATGCCTGCAGGACCATCATTTAAGAAAAACGATGTGTCAGTTGTACTTGATATGAACACTGCCGCAGAAACGTTTGACAAGTCCACAATAGCCACTTGATTAGCAATACTTCCACCCTTATCTTCACACACCACGATCTTGCCACTCGCATTGACCAGTTCCTTCGAATTAGAACAAAACCCCAAAAAAACAATAGGAACTTGGTGAGCGGAGAAGTTTCCAAGATAAAGTGACAAGCCATGTATGTGGACTCCATTTCCAAGAACAAGACTCCCACGAAATTCACGATCCAAAGTGCTACTAGCCACATTTATGACCCATGGTATTCCATTATGAAGAGTTCCACGTTCAGGCCCAGCATTCCCTGCTGACGTGGACACGAAAATGCCTTTCTCCATGGCTGCAAATGAGGCTATAGCAACAGGGTCCTCGTACAAAGGTAGATTATCAAGGCCAAGTGATAAGGAGAGAACATCAACCCCATCTGATATGGCAGTATCAATTGCGGCTATTATATCAGATGACATGACTCTACCACCCCACACAACCTTGTACATGGCTACTCTCGCCCGTGGAGCTACTCCTTTCGCTGATCCATTGGCATAGCCAAAGAAGGATGCATTATCAACTTGGCTCCCAGTTGCAATGCTTGATGTGTGGGTCCCATGACCTTCTACATCTCGGGTTGAGTTCGCAACTGTTTCGAGTTTGGAGTTCTTGGCCAACAATCCTTTTTTAAAGAATCGAGCTCCAATGAGTTTGTTGTTGCATTTGATGCTACTTTCACATGAGCCTTTCCATCGTGAAGGGATTCTAGTCATCCCCTCATCTTTGAAGCTTTCACTTTCAGGCCAAATTCCGGTATCCACCATCCCAACAATGACATCTTCGCCAAATTTTCCAACAGGCCAAGCCCCCACATTGGGATTAAGGCCAAGAAATTGTGGTGAATATGTTGTGTCAAGCTTAGCTGACAAATCTGGTATGGAAGAAATGTAACCTGGGGATCTTTTGAGGGCTTCAAGCTCTTTAGGTGACAAATTTGCACTAAAACCATTCATGACGTTGGTGTAGGTATAAATCAGCTTAGAAGAAGCGGTTTTTAGATTATTGTCATCGGTGGTAACTTGAGTATTATCTAATGCAGCGTTAAGGGTGGATAAATACCAATTGTGTTTAGTGGAGAATGCTTTAGGCATGGCTGATGATTCCATGTGGATGATATAATTATCATATTGAGCCATTGAGAAAATGGGATGAAAGACTGTGATGTAGGAGAAAAAAAGACAAAGATGAATCATGGTAGCCATGATTGAAGTGTATCTTGAATGTGAATGGCTAATTGGTTAGTGAGGACCAGTATGTAACTGGGATTTAAATACTGAACACAGAAATCAATATTTCTTATCTTTGAATATTTGGTAGGAAATGGGAAAAAAAAATGAAACCAATTATACAAAGAATAAAAGATACTTATAAGTTCATTTTTTAGCGTTTATATTTTCTTTGTAAGACATTTATATCTTTTAATGAGTAGTAAACTGTATTTATATTTTATTTTCATCTATTGTAAGCCTTCAATTAAATGATTAATTAAAAAAAAAAAATAAGATCCTACATTAAAATAAATACCAAAATTCTAAGTATTCTTTTTATAATATTCTTATATGTATATTACAATTAAATGATTTGTAAACTTTATATTATTATTTTAATTTATTAGGAAACATTTAATAAGTGCGTATCATCTAAAAATATAATTAAATGATAAAATGCTGATTTTTTCTTGATATAATTAATGTAAGTTTGGATATCTTGCGCTGATACTGAAGTAGAAATTTTAGCAATGTAAAATTTCTATATAAAACTTTCCGGTTGTGATAAACTAATTAACTAAAATGTACAATTTCATCATTATGAGGTGATTTCAAAGATAATGTAACATTTCATTTTTTTTCATAATAAATTAATAAAAGATTTTGTATTAATTAATTAGCAATAATATAATATTCTTAGAGATATTTTGAAATGATAATTATTTTTTTTATTTTTTTTTTATTTTAAAAATATTGTGAAGTAAATTAATGAGCTTTTTATCAACGGGTTATGCAAGAGTTAGAGCTAATATTTAAATATGTTAGTAATAGTAAGGCTACAATTGCCTCACTTTATATATTGACTCGTGCGTCTTGTGATCTAAAGAAGGGGGAAAGTTAGAGGTTGTGGGTGAAGAACTTGAAAATTCAAACTCAGATTTTAGCATCCATCAAAATAAGGGGAAGTGAGAATCTCGTTCTAGGGTGCGGATTATCTGTTGGATAGTGGGCTTGGTCCCCAATCTCGTTGTTTATGTATGTTTTATGCGTGAGGGATTAAACCTGAATTCTTGTTGTTGATTGCAATGTGTATATACATGTGTAAATGATGCCTCTATGATTTCTAAACATGTTATTATGATATAATAGTACTTTTTATCTATGAAATTGTCTCTATTTGTGAATTCGTGAGTGTTTGTGGGTTCCCTAGAGGGAAACCCTAAGGACAACATACAAAACAAATTCTTGGAGAAACAATTGTATGTAGTAATTACTTGTAAAAGAATAAACTATTTAGATTATAGACACCCCTTACATACATGAATTAGTAATAGTAGTGGAACCCAAACTTGTAGTGAGTAAAACAGAAATTATGTAGAATGAGACCTTACTGATACTACGTCAGGCACTATATTGGGCTCGCTGCATGTGAAAGCCCGAAATGCTCACGATGTCAATGATGTCGGGCATGAGTTTAGTCATGTCAGGCATGGGAGTTCCAAGGGACTCCTTGTTGTGATCTCGTCAGATGCGAGAACAATCACGTCGAGCGTGATCCTTCTAGAGGCTTGCGGCCTCTTTCTCGTCAAGTGTTTTCCTATGCCTACGACTTGCATACCTGAAACTATGTATTTAATTAATTTTGTTTTGCTTAAAGAATTACATGATTTGTTGGATGTGAAAGTGAGTTATCTATAGAATGTGAAGTGAAAGAATGGTATGTGATGTGCCTATTAATGAGATTAAGAGTGTATGACAAGTATTGGATATTTATCATATTGAGAAACCTATGAGTTATGAGACATGTTATATATGTAAATGAAACAAGTGAGCAAGCCTAAGTATGACTTAGTGATGAAGTGAAATGTGAAATATGGTGTGATATGTGAACATGATTTGTTGGTTGTGCATAAGAGTCTAAGTGCGACATTCATCATTTGTATAAAAGTATTTTTCATGTGATGGGTACAATGTGAAATATGCTACTAGGGAAAGTCCCCCTTGTGTAAAAGGTTGGAGATTCCATGACCTTGGGGATAGTCAGGTTTGGGAGCCTCGGTCCTTCCATGTTGTGTGTATGGGATGAAACTTGGCCAACATAGTTATCTTGATGTGCAACTAGTGTATTTTCTTCTAGAGAGAGTGTTGTGATGGCATGGCCCGACATGTACTCCTAGACTAATTAACCTTCAAATGGTGATAAAGTGATTTATTGGCATCACATGTATGTAGTTAGGAGAGTTTTGTCCTTACATGAGCATAACATGGTTTATATATATTGAACTATGATGTGATGACATCTGGAGTGTTAGAATGCAAATAAATGCTTATTAATTTTACTGTCATTAATTATTGATATATGGATTATATGATGCATGTGTGTGACTACCCTACCATTTCTTACACTAGTAGCCAGAGTGAGATATGTTCTCACTCCCCCAATTTCCTTGTGTTGTTTGGATTGTTTATGCTGGTGACTTTGATTTTTGAAGAGTTTAAATTGTTAAAGGGATTTCTTTGAAAGGATGTGACATCAGGACTTTTAACATAGGAATTATTTTTCTATTTTATTGAAAAAAAGATTTTAGTTTATTTGATTTCAAAATATTTTAACAAAGTGTTATGAATTTCTTGTAATTATTTATTTTGGTTTTAGTTTTTGGATATTAGATTTCAAATGTGGTACCTTTTGCCCATAGTTTTAGTAAATGAATGAAGTAATTTTTGAAACTATTATTTTATATTATTGTATGTATGCATGTGGCATAAAAGGTGTCACATTTAGTCGTCTTAGAGTCTAGTTGATTCAAATCAAACTTGTGTGATATGTGTTATGACTGCATTTTCGTGTGTACTATGATTTGTGTTGGTGATGTATTATGTGCCATAATTGGGATTCTTTATGTACTTTTATATGAGTTATGTGTTGTGATATGGTTATATTCTTTGGTTCTCTTGTTTTCTTGTTTGTTTGATACATCTTACTTGTGTAAGAAGTGGTTGGGTGGTATCGCTCCTATTGCAAGCGTAGGCATGAGTAATTAATGGTGGATGAAGCTTTATGCTAATCAACTATGAACTACCAAAAGTTATTTTGTTCATGTGATGTTGAACCTTTTGGTTGTACTCTTTGATTCTATGCAACTTATCCCTTCATAGTATCTATTTATTTGTCAAAATATCAATTGTTTGTCTTCTCATAAATTATCATTTGATTCATGCAACTCCAACTAGTAATCCTGTTTGTATTCCTATTATTGACTTATATTGTCCATTGCAAGTTCTTGTTGAATTCTTGGTTGACTTAATATATTTGCCTCTTAGTAAACTAGACGTAATTCTCGAGATGGATTGGTTATCTTTCAATCATGTCCTAATGAATTTTTTGATAAAACAATTTATTTTGGTGAGAGTAAGGGTACAAATTGTGTTTCTGCAAACCAAATTAACTCATGTTTAAAAGAAAAAGAAAAGATATACATGTTAATATTGTGTATTTAAAACTAGAGAAAGAAAATGTGTTATGTGAGATCCCTTTAGTGAAAGAATTTCCTGTAGACATAACTAGCTTACAACTTGAGAAAGAGAGAAAGAGATAGAGAGAGAGAGAGAAGGAGAGAGAGACTGATTTTTCTATAGATTTAATACCTAGTACTGCCCTATATCCATAGCATCCTATAGGATGTCTCCTAAGGAATTAGCTGAACTTAAGAAACAATGAGGAACTTATAGAAAAAAAATTCATTAGGCCTAATGTATGACCTTGGGGAATACCTATGTTGTTAGTGAAAAAGAAAGATGGGAGTATATGAGGTTGTGTGTAGATTACCATCAACTTAATAAGGTAACCATTAAGAATAAGTATCACTTGCCTAGGATAGATAACCTTATGGATCAATTTGTGGGAGCCTGTGTTTTTAGTAAAATAGATCTAAGATTAGGATATACCACCAAATTCGAGTGAGATCTGAGGATATTTTAGAGACTGCTTTTAGGAGACATTGTAGACATTGTTATTACTTCACTATTTTGAAAAAGTGTGAGTTTTTTATTGACACTATTAAACCCCCCCCCCCCCTTCTAGTGTTTTTCTTTTCTCCACAATTGGCTTGTTGAGCATTTCAATATGTTGGTTTAAGGGCTTGTTTTCGGCTAATATTTCATCATTGGAAGCCAATTCATATACTCATTTTCCTAGTTTAAACCTTAGTCTCTTGGATCCACTGTGATTGTTGGCTATGCTCTCTATGATGACTACCAATTCCTCTAGTGTCTTATAGTTAATGTAACCCCAACTAAGGCATCCAAGATGAGCTTCATGTCATACATTAGTCCATCTAGGAAAGTGTACATCTAATCCAACTCGTGTAATCGATGGTTTAGGCATTTTGTTAACAGGTTGTGGTATTTATCCCATGCCTTTGACAGTGACTCATTTGCCTCCTTTTGCAAGTTATTAATAGCCACCTTGGTTTTCTTGAATTTCTCATGAGTAAATTATTTCTCAAGAAACTTATTGGCTAAATCTTCCTGTGTAGTGAAACTCTTGGGTGAGAATGATTGTAGCCAATAGCTAGTCCTTCTAGATAGTGAGAAAGGGAACACTACCAATCAGATAGTGTTAACTGGAACACCCTAATATTACATAGTATTGCAAATCATGATGAAATTGAATAGGCGGGCATGAGGGTCTTTGTTGTTTTCTCCAAAAAATTAGTTCCCCCTGTAAAACAAAAAAACCTATAATAGATAATAGGTCAAGCTTAAGCTTTATTTTTGTAGAATAAACTCAGCCTATATATTTCAAAACCTAGTCTGACCTAGTCTATTCTCATCCCTATATGTTAGTTCATTGTCGTTCGGTACCTTATTCCATGGAACCCTACAATGACAAATGTGTACCCAATGAGGTGTGTGTTGAGGAGTCAATCCTTAGAGTGTGGATGACCATAATTGGTACTTGAAGATATTTTTATATGGTGTGATCATCCTTAGGGTATAGACGTTGAGTTGTGACAATAGTTTTCACACAGTCGACCTAGCAACCCCAACTATGAGCAATCATTAACGGGTAAGGGCCTACCATTGTACAATAGTGAGGGTGTACTCCCAATAGTCTTCCAAACTAAA